GTAAATATGATCGTGAATACTCCAAAGATAACCGATGGCAAAATAGTTAGCACATACTTTGTCCAATTGCAACGACGATAATTTTTCGAAGTTAGTGCTCGTCTAAATGAGGATAGTCTTGCTATTTGTCGAGTTTCTAACTCAATAGCTGGCATACGGTAGAAGCGACGACGGCGTATAGTTTTATTTTTTTCGACACGATATCGTTCTTCTACTGAAGTGTAAGGACTCTTTGAAAATTATACTACTTCTGCTTGTGACCAGATTGAAGGGTACAAGACCAAATAGAGACGACGAACGGTATTCTTAATGCAATTCATGTGAAAATCAGTAGGGAACAATGATCGAATGTGGATAGCAGAAACGCTGAAGCATCATGTAAAATAGACAAAATAAAATATAGAGCCCTTTGCGATTGTATTGAAAAAACACACGAAGCAAAGAGACAAAGACACGTTTTCTAAATAGTGGAAGAAACTATTATGCGTCGGATGTGTCTCGTCATGTATTATTGACGTCAATAATGACGTGTTGAATTTTTCAAGGTTAGAATATTATAGTATAAAGTTTATGATTAGCTCTTGACTGTTAGACAAAGTATAGCGTTTCGGATTGGTCAAATTGCATGATTTAGAATGCACAAGAATGAAAGAAAACAAAACCCACCTACCCTCATACCTTCAATAACTGTGTATTAATATTAGGCAAACTCGATGATCTCGTACTTCAGGTGTCAAGTCTACGCAACATGTAACGTTCGACTTTATTCATCACAAACGTTTACATTCCCATGTAAATATTTTTTTGATAAAAACGCGTCTGAGTTGCGTTTCGTTGCGTGTCAATCCCAGCGAAGAAACGCAAAAAAGGCGTCTCCAGTGAAACATTTGCTGCGGCTAGATGCGGTTGGAGAAAATCGCGTCTACACGCGGTTGTAAAAAACCGCGTCTAGACGCAGGAAATGTTTCACTGGAGACGCGGTTCTAAAACAAATTGCGTCTAGACGCGGTTTTCTCCAACCGCGGCTAGACGCAAGAAATGTTTCATTGGAGACGCGGTTCCAAACCAAATTGCGGTTAGACGCGGTTCCAAACCAA